GTAGAATTCGCTTCAAAAGAGCTTACTTTAATAGCAGCTGAAGTACTTTCTAAATCCATATTTTCAACAGTAATATTATACATAGATGATGAATCATGTGATATAATAGCAATACAATCATCACCAGTTGATATATTTGAATTTCGTATAATAATATTACGAGAATTAATTAAATCTATTCCATCATTATTCGACCAACGACGATCATCAATTATTGTAACATTATCAAAAAGAACATTATCACTTTCAACAACAGTTACTGTCCATAATGAAGAATTTGTTATTGTTATATTTGTCAATACGATTGAATAACTATATCGTATGATAAGTAATTTTGGTCGACAACTATAATAGGAACAATTTGGTAAAGTTCATTTAGTAGGAATAAGCATATTTGATGATTCTCGATATTCACGTACGAGATGACCTGGTGAACTGTTTGCACCAGCATCATATGGGGTGTGGGTGTAGATGTAGGTGTTAGTATTTGATTCATCAACCCACATCCACATCCACACCACACCCTTCTACAACGCTTTCACTAAATATTTTAACAGGGTACATGGATCACATAAAGATTGTATCGTGAATAAAATGGAGAGAAACACGAAACAGATATTGGTAAAAAGAATATAGAAGTTAATTTCATTTCGGTGATAAGTGGTGAAAGCTCTTTACTTTACAACTTTAAATTAGTCTGATCGTTTATGAATCAACTCATGAAAACATGCATGATCAGAACTTTCCTCACTCATTCTTTTCGTCATCGATAAAAGTAGATTGAGTAATCATTGAATCAAAGCAATTATAACTTTCATAGAATTTTAAGTGAAATTGTAAGTCTTAGAATGAAATATTTAAATCTTTTGTTGTAATGATTATTTCGACCTAATCGAAAAAACAAAAAGCACCACAACTCACTGATTTTCATAAATCGAACAAAAACTTCAATTGCATTTTTTCGCTGAAATAATGGAAAGACTAACTGTCTCAAGATTTTATTTTTGTTTAGATTTTCATATATATATTCTGTCATTGAGATTGCTATATCTGATTTTCTCTTTATCAATCAAGCACTGATCTTGACTTTTTTTTTCCTTAGTTTCTGGCCGATGATATTTGAATGTGTATATATGAATGAATGCCAAATTTATTTCCGAAATGAATATTGTACCATATATGTTTCATAATTTCTTTTTTGGGTAAACTATTTTCCAGTTTTTTTTCTGTTCTGTTCTGATTATTCTACTACTATATAAATTTTGGTTTCTGG